AGTTATTTCTAAGAAAACGCTCTGCATTGATTTATTTAGATTGCTTTCACAAAGACATTGTTTGCAGAAAGAGATGCTCTCTGTGGACTGTTATCGTTTAATGTCTCAAATGGAAATCTTTTTCTGCTCAGTCTGAGATTCGAGACAAAATAAATCAAGTCTGTGCCTGCTTTTTCTTTCTATTTTATTTATTATTTTATGGAAACCACATCCCAGAGACCATACAGCAGTCTGTCAAGTATTCAAATGAAAATTTCCTAACCACAAGCTACATTTTTACAACAGGGCAGCTGCTCCCTGACCCTGTAAAATCCTGCACAACTTCTGTTTAAAAGCCTTCCACAATCACCAGACCTGCTACCTGTGAGTTATACTTCCTCATCCCTCTCGGTCTGCAGCCCCCATATTCTCTGTCTCCCCCTCTCTCTCTCTCTCTCCATGCAGTTGAGAGTTGTAAATCAAGTAGAAGCACAGCTCTACATATGAGCATGTGTGTGCGTTTACTGTACGCTGCTGCCAAAAAATGTGTCCTAACCGCCCCTTTTTCACCTCCCTATACATCTGCCTATAGGAGGCGGAAGAGCCAGAGGGGACGGAGGCGTTGCGTGTGCGCGTGAGTGTGGGTGGGATTAAGTTCGGTGCTATCTGTCAGGGTCATGTGGGTTGAAGGAGCACATCCTGGACACTTATCTCAAGTGGTGCAGGGGAGACAGTGAGCGCGCTTTCTGCAGGTTTTTTAAAAGAAAGAGAGAAAGAAAAAGAAATATTTAACTGTCACAAACCTGCCTGAAGAATGTTGAAGATAAGATGTTTAAACTTAATTCAGCTTTAAAGTGGCACAACTGTCAAAAATACTAACAATAATGCTGTTCTACATCAGATCAGTGTAATTGTGGCAGCATTTACAAAGCTACTCTTAAGAAACAAATGTCATGTTTTCTGTCACTAAAGCCTAACAAGACACAAGACTTCCTTGCCTTATTTTTAAGTTGAATCCAAAAGTAAACCAAATCCTTAAAAAAATATATTTTGTATCTATATTGCTTAAAGGCCAGGGGAAATCTAACTACACTGTTAGTTTGACGCCTTCATATGATGCTTTATGAAGGCAGGAGGTTGGTCTTTCAGGTTCCCTTCAGGTTATTATTGAGAGTGAAATTCTGACTGAGAAGTTTGGATCTAGACTTTGTTCATTTCCCAGACAAATCAAACAGATGAATAGATTTCAACTCTCAATATTTGTAGAAGTTTTAATCAAAATAAAAGCTACTTTTCAATCTCCTCAAGCAAAACCAATGGATACAACCATAATTCTGTTCCACAAGGTGAAATACAATGAAAAATAAACTCATAAGAACTGGTTTTTATTACAGGTCTGAAAGAAAATTATAAAGAGATCAAATTGAAACATGAAACAAGTTGCATTAAATCAATGGTAACAAAATAAATATTAAAAGAGAAGATGTAATGATGCGCTGTTTGGTGTGATGGTTTACCTGAAAGCAGAGCCAAAGTTATGCTCTTCCAAAGGCCACAAATGCAAATAAGTTTAATAGTGTCATAATAATGGTGTTATTAACCACTACTTACATATATTATAGTAAGACTGTGAGCAACACCCTGACTGTGTTTATGTGAAACAGAATAACACACATTCTGAAGCTAAGTGTGTTGTTCTGTGTTGGTAATTAGTGCGGCTTTTATCACTGACGGGCGGCTCCCAACACTATCACTGGTCATCTTTCAAATGTCACACTGTCGCAGTAGCATTAGCGGAGCGAGGAGGAGGGCTGTCGGTGTTTCTCCTCCGTGAGAAGCAAGTGAACAGTTTGCTTTTAACCCGACATTTGCTCAAAGTAGATGAGCTGAAGATGTAGATCCATTTCTTTTATTTTTTTCTGTTTTGTGCAGAAAATGTCGTGAGAAATGGAGAGTGTGTGCGGGAGGGGAAAAAGTGTCAAAAGCATGCCATATTTAGGCCAGACTGACACACTGCAAAGACACGGGCTAACTGTTGCTTTTCACACGTCGCACCGTCTCTTCTTACCATCTGCCCTCCCTCTTTGTCTCAGTGTGTGTGTATATATATATATATATATATATGTTGCTTCCTTCGCCTCTGCCGTTCCTCTCTGAACTGTTGTTCTCCGCCTGGCTGATACCATCTTGCCTCTTACACTCTCTGCACCTCCTTTCTTCCACTTCCCTCCATTAGGAGTGCCTGAAGGTCTCAACGAGACAGCAGGAATATTTTGGAAGGAGGAAAAAAAAAAAAAATTTAAAAAAAAAAAAAAAAGGCTGATGGCCATCATGGTCCTGTAAATGCAGTTTCTGGCCCTAAAATGGCTCCTATTTGAATCTGCTCTCCATAGAAATGGTGTAATATCAGGAGTGAAAGGCAGTGACTAAGTGGCACTATGTGTCAGAGGGCTTGTGGCCACAATAAAAATAGAAAACATGGAGAATATTTCTCATGGTCTGCTGGTATATTTAAACCAGACAACCAGAACATAAAGTACAAAACCGATATGACTCACAAATGCAGAGGAGATTACAGACACACACATATGCAGAGACACAAATAGACTTCTTCACATACAAATCAAGCACACATCAATCCCACTGCAGACAGGCATGTTTCGCCTCAACGGCCATTCACGTTTCTCACTACCTGTTTCTGGCCATCCTGGAGCCAGATGTGTGCGCATGGGTGCGAGAGAAGCACGAAAGAGGAAGTGACCAGTGTGCATGGTGGGGCTCGGCAAGCCAGGTGTGGGCAGTCAGGCCTATCAATGATTTAAACATCGTTTCTATATGAAATGTAAAAATAGGAAATAAGACTGTAGGACTTACAAAAGTTTCATCTGTGCTAATTTAACAAAGGAATTAATTCTTAAAAAGTCCCACAATCTCTAAATCTTTGGCATTTAGCTTAATGACAGACTAAATGATCCTGAGTGAAAGATTAATATGTAAATATAAATGCGTTAAATACAGCTGAGAGAACACAGAGATCTTGTTGACAAGCATCTATCTATGAAATAAGTAAAAAAAAAAAAAAAAAAATCCCAAGACGATAAAAAAAAATTTAAAACGTCATTTGAACCACAGACTGATAAATGTCAAAAGGCATTCATCCTCCTGCAGACATAATAACTCTTTATGGTTAGGGATTTTCCACCAAACCTTTCCAGTGCTAGAGCCAGCTCTCAACTGTTTCTGTTATAAAGCAGAAAGAAACCAGTTTGGTGTCTACAACCAGTTTGGTGACACATCATCACTTCACCTAAACTGTTACTTTCAGTGACTGTTTGACCTTCTGTCGGTTGAATTTAAAGCCCTAATTATTCATGTTAAAATCACAGTGATGCCCACACAAAGTCCTCAGTTAAAGATCCAGAATTTTCTTATTAAAATCTAACATTTAAAATCAAGTTTTAAAGTCTATAGAAAGAAAGATGAAAGAGTCTGTCTTGTATAAACAAAATTCTCCACATGCTGTTTTATTATTCTCTTTTTTTAGTATGCCATAAAGAGCTTCTTTTCTAACCTATAATATTTTTCTTAATTCTACTTTTCTGTTGTTTGGTTGGTTTTGCTGCAGAGACAGGGAAAATCTTTGTAGCTTAAAAATTGATCAAGAGTAATGCATTAAAAGATACACAGTTTAAAAATGTTCAATAGCAATCGATCTGGTCCAGGTAAGACCTCACGTAAATGTTGATACAGTCCAGCATTAGAGGACTTCAAACGGTGCAAAGGATCCCAGCGGATGAGGCCATGCACAAAACTCACTAACGTAACAAACAATGTCTTCATATCACTGCATTTCTAACCGTTAACGGTTAAATAAGAGCAGTGTTTCAAAAGGAAATTAGACCCACATTTTTATATGAACACAAATTATAAGAGCTGACAGCATTTATGAACACTGCAATCAGCATTTATGGAAAACAGTGGTGGTGAGAGCAGCTCCCTGCACTAAGCTGACCCACATATGATACAGGAAGCAATAAAACAAAAAGTACTCCAGCTCCTGATGATCGCAGTCCTCCCCTCTTTAAACCTGTCATCTTAATGTACTTATACCCCAGAAAGTAAATTAATAAAGCCTTTTTATATCTTAAACTCAATTAAATAATGTATTTCTGCGACACTCCTTCATATTTACAGCTTTTTGTCTTGAGATCTTGATCTCATTCCAATGAAAATGCCATGAGATGAAGCTCTAAAACAGCAAGTAAGAGCATGTTAACATGTTTACTTTGCCTTTTACAACTGCATGTTTTTCAAGTCATGTCCAAAAAGTAGGCTAGTGTCAGCCAATCAAGAGTTTCTTGTCCATTTGCCCAGCTGACAGCATTCATGCATATTTAAATGAGTTTTTTTTTTAGCCAAGTGTGAACGCATCTTTTGAAAGACTTGAGTATGATGGAAAGAGTATTGTCTTCAAATTCTCCCTTTTGTCCAGATATTGAAAAGCCCTTTGTCTTTATGTTGATGTACGTTCATGAATTATTATTGCATAATAATGATTTGCAGTTAAGTCACCATTTAATGTTAAAAAACTTTCATGTTAGACTTTGTCTGATCCAGTTTCTCATTACTCATCAGCCGTTTGGTCATCTACCATCTTCACAGCGGTGAATATTCACAGCCAGATGCTGAACACTTATCTCATTAGCAGCAGCAGAGTGCAGCACAGCAGCAGCTAAAAATATTAGCATTGCACACGCTAATAACCAGCCTCCCTGAAACCCTGGCTTGAGCCCAACGACCAGAGGATGGGGGCCGTGTCAAGCTAATAAACCCTCTTAATCTAAACAGGCACCGGGTCAGAATGCATGTGTGTTTTTTTGAAGTGCATGTGTGGCTATAGCTGGCTAACCCCAGCAGATGAGCCTTCACCCCAATCACATCCCCCTTTTTTGCTGGCAGTCTGCCGTCTGACTTGGCAGACACACACTAGTTAAGGGGGTCTGGTATGCATGTGTGTGTGTGCATGCATGTGCATTTGAGTCTGTGTGTGATTGCACCAGGGAGGGAGGATTATAGTTGTTGAACATACACACGCAAATGAGCGGCGGGCCCGACTGGTCTGCATGGTGTGTGTGTGTGTGTGTGTGTGTGTGTGTGTGTGTGTGTGTGTGTTTCAGTGTTGTAATAAAGCCAGCAGTGTTTTACTAGCCCACTGACACAGAGCATAAAAAGATCAGTGGGCCAAATCCATTAGTAGCATAATTGCATTACATGGTAAATATTCCTAAAAGGTCAGTATCTCCATCTGAAACATCATCATCACAGAGAGCTGCAGTACAATCAGGAATTCTGGTGTTTTACATGAGTTAGATTAAATAATTGCCAGTTGTCTGCATCTGTTGTAGGGGGAGAGTTGGCCAGCAGGACTGATTTTCCACTTCAGGGTGATTCAGCCTCAGCCTCTGGCAGTCTAACAGATGATCTTACACCGTGTGAGTGTCTGATGTTTCGTTTTAATGCCCCAAAACACAAAAAATCTCCTGACCGGCGCTGCCTCTGTTACCCAAAGCTGAATGACTTAGATCCAGTTAAAACACATCCACCATGTGAAACACTGTGCAGACCCCCGGTGAGGGAAACTTATCTCAAATAATTACCCCAAAAACGATGAAAATTAATCTGGAGTTAATTCAACTTGAACATGTTGTCTTTGAATTACTGAGGATTATAATCTATAGATACCATGTTAGTTAATTCATTGAAAAGGTCCAATGGCTGAGTGGAAATGAGAAGTTTCAATGTGCAGCACATAGTGTGGGCAGTTGAGAGACAGTTTGAGGAAAAGCAAAATTCAAGTTGCAACAGATGTAAAGCAATCCTGGAATGCTCTAGTTTTTTATTGTGTTAGTATATGGAGTTTCAGTTTTCACTTATGACAAGTTTCATTCAACTTCAGCCTTTATTCATAGCAGGTTTGTATTGAGGCCTTGAAAGAATCCCGCCTGACTTGTCAAAAAAACTGTAAAACAAACAAATGATCATTAAAAGTGATTAAAAATGGCTTCTGAGTGGCAGAGCGCTGAATGACAAAGCAATACTGAGGTGATGTTCATTGTAAAGTGAATAAACTAAAAACATAACATTTTGCAGGCTATTAAACATAAGTCCTTAAATTATTTACGTATGTTCAATTTTAAAATTAAAAGTTATAAAAATAACTGATTCTATCAAAATATTTAGACCAAAATTTAAATGAAGATGTCTCAATTAACTTTAACTGTGATTTTTTTTGTTTTTTTTTTTTGTGCCCGGTATCCTGCAGATATGTTTAACAGGTTGTATTATAAATTACTTTGTCAAACGTAAGAACTGTCAACATGTTTCTGTCATGGAGCAAAACTTTAAGTTTGTGTCCAAATGTAATTATTTCAGAAAACAATATTTGTTTTATTCTTATTAATAATAAGAATAATTTAAACCTATATTTGAAAGCTTAAACAAACAATGTAGCAGCAATGGAGAAAAATATGTATAATTTTGTTACTGAACTAAGTCAGCCATCTCCGACTGATCTGAATCAAGATTTTAGACCAATCAACAGTGTCAAATCACTCGCCCACTTTCTGCACTGCTTTAAACTAAGAAAGGGCTGATATCACACACAGACCAAAGCAAGTGGATGGTAGTCAGAGAAATAAGCTTAAAATCCGAAACGCACAACACCACACAGAGGCAGCAAAGAGAACATACTGTACTGTCTACACAAAAAAACACGCGCACGTACAGCCTCCAGGCTATTGTCCTCCACATTTAGGTCACGGCGAAACTAACAGCTTCACACACACACTTACACACATACTCTCCCCAGGAGGCTCTCCTCACCTGCAAAGAGGCCAGTTTGGACACAGTGTCAAAGATTAAACCTGTGTTTTATCTCTGTAAGGGGGGAATGCTTCAGGGAGTGTGTGCTAGCATGTGTGTGTGTGTGTGTGCTCACTCAGTCCCTTTAAACCAGAGGGCATGAAGGGGGGGTCACCAGAGAATACACCTTTCCCCGTTGCACGCACACATACAGCTGCCCTTCTCTGTGTGCTCGGTCAAGTAGAAAGGTGGATCTGTGTCAGGTAGCAAGGGTATTTACTGTTACTGAGACAAGCAGGCCCAGAAAACAGCAGCACTGCCAAGGGAGGCAGGGACCGGGGCCCAGACGAAGGAGAGAAAAGAAAGAAAAGAGTTGACCGGGACGGAAACTGAGAGGTGAAGGAGGAACCGGCCATGGAAAATAACAAATGCATGGGTGCATATGCAAATAGAGAAGCTGGTAATTTATTCAAAAAAGCTCACTCTGTAAAACTCTCTGTACATTAAAGAAAAAATAGTAGTCTCTTTTTTGTGTTTAAGCTGAACAACAGATGGCTAAAACATAAAAGTATCCCATTCAATATCACATAAATTCGACAAGCCAATCCTAAAATCATGGTTACAAAATATTTAACCATAACCTAATACTTATGATGATACTATGTAAAATACAGACACTAAAAACCTGCTGATACAAATGGAAGCTGAAAAATGTTTCTTCATAAGAAGTTAAAAAAAAAACTTTTTTTGCAGTTGTACATTTTTTTATTTTTTTATTTTTTGCACATGTTGAACTCTATTTACACCCCATATACTCAAGTTTATGTGCTCTTTACATTTCTTACATATTTTCTCTTGTATCAGATTAAATCAGATTTTGATTGTGATACAATTTTATGTAATGCCTACATCTAATATAATGGTAGTAAAATTATTTTTTTAGTAACAAATGCGAAACTTTTTACTCTTATCGTGATTATCCAGCATAATTGTCAAGATGTGCTCATTTTGGCATTTGGATAAGCTTTGTTATGATTTTAAGTACTATAGTATAAATAGCTGAAATTTTGAAAGCTTTATCTGAGTTAGCACACACTTTATTTGTGAGCTGTAATATACAAATATATGCTAATGACAACAGAAGTATATATTTATATTCTAAAATCAACTCGCTCTAGATAAGACAGCATGCTTATAGCTGCAATTCTAGTTATAAATTAATCAATTCAAAGTATAAAAAGCTCTGCACAGTATTATTTTTTATTTAATTAGAACATTTTATTCTGTACATTGTAAGTTTCTGTAAAGACTTGAAAGCATGGTTTATAAATGATCTGACCGAACTTGGCATTTTACCGTAGAAAACAAGACATTAGTTCACCTTACTAAGGTTGTTTCCCAAGGATGTATTTTGGCATCCATTTTATTCTCTGTTTTTATCATGGTGTTGGAACTAAATGCAGCCAAAATAGATTTAGACGTCAATGCCAGAGGCATTGATATTGGCTGTTACGCTTTTTCAGAAAGCTTTTCAGTCACTACAACAATCTCAGCAGGAGCTAAAAAGTGTTTTGAAATCCACGAAGACAAAACTTATGACTTTCATTTGCTCTCAGGTCAAGTTAACTGATCCCAGCCGTTACATTAGATGGATCGACTATAAAATAAGTTGCTTCATGCAAATATTTAGGAAAAGTATCTCTTGATAGTAATGCTGGTCATCAACAAATCAAAGCTTAGATGTGAACTAATTTAATGCAATATAAAAGGTATTTTCCCTTAAGCAAATTTATCTAAATTGAATTATTGTTAGCATTATTAGTATTATTAGTACCATTTTTTTCTTTGAAACACAGATATGATTGAAAATAAACAACAGCAAAAGTCCTAAGCAATCCCTGAACAGTGAAAAGAATATAAGCACCATTCATCTCAAATAAGCATTGATGTTCCTGTTTCTTATTCTCTGTCTGTCTCTTTGTTTATTTTGTTTATTATTTCTGCTCAGTTACCACGCGGCCTGGTGAGCGAGGGACCACAGGTGCCTGGGTGAATCCGACGGACATCCGTAATTTATCATTCATACGCCGGTGACGGCAGGCCAGGCCGAAATATGGCACGGTAAACACAAACCATATATCATTCACAGACACAGATACACACTGACAGCCGCAGACACACATAAACACACACATAAAATGCTTCTTTGAAGAGCGCTGCTTTTATGCGAACACGGAGCCGGACATGGGTCACGTCACAACATGTTTCTTATATCTTTTTCTGTTCATTCCACTTAATCTTCGTCTTTCTGTAGAGATATTCTTCTTCTGCCATATCTTTTTTTTCCCTTGTTGATTTTTTTTTCTGGAAGACTAGACACTTATATGTATAACACTGTCACCTTTCCCTAACAGAGAAAACATATTTAGCTGTCTCATGTTGAGTGCAAGAATTTGCTTCCTCTGAACAGTTTTAGTCTTTTGTCTAGACTTCTTTTTATATTCACATAAAAAATCCTTTTGACTAATGTTTGGTTTTAATTTTTTTTGCATCAACACATCGAAGAGATGTCAGCTGCTGCCCGAACTCCTGCATAAACTCTTTTCCCTCAAATGCCTCCTGCTGCAAAACTTTTAATCCAGGTTTTAAAAGGATATATCACAGTGGGACATCACTGCTGGCCTGCATCTGCCAGAGTGAGCTGAGAGCTGATTTCTGTGTTTACATAAGATTACAGAGCAGGGAGAAAAGAAAGTAGCCGATATAGTAGCTCCAAGCCAGGCAGCTCTCATTTTTAATGCAGCAAATGCTGCCACAAACAACCTGCGGGACAGGAGGGGGATGAGGAGACGTAGCCAAAGGTTGGACCGCTAAGTAGCACCACTTACAAGCCTTTAGGGAGCGCCTCCATGTGTATGTTTAATTATGGTCTACCCATATAGGATTTGAAGCAGTGGTCAATGATCCTAGCCTCGATGCCAGCACCATGATGCAAATCCCCATATGAGAAATCTCTGGAATATAAAATCTGTTGTAAGAACTGGATTTAAAGCTTTCAGGCAGAGTTGTTAGGCAAGATTTAAAGTACTGGGTTTTATTATGATATAAATTTGCAGTTGAACTAAGCTGTAAGTTTTAAAAAAATTATTAAAAAAATGTTTTGAATGGCAGATATCAAGAAAAAATTAGTTCAAAGACCTTCCAATCTGAAAACTTAAACTCTGTCCAAAAGGTAGTAACTGGAATTACCTGTGCTCCTGCCTCTGCAGGAATCTGGGGAAGATTCATTCTATTTTACTGCTGAGTCTAGTTTTTATGTCTTTGAAGCACTTTGACAATAAACCCAGACTACAAGAGTAAATCTTTGCATTTAAAAAAATATATACACATATAAAACTTTCACTCCACATCACCCTGAACACACAGTTCCCAACATGGAGGTTGCAGCATCATGCAACAAAGCTGGTTAGAGTTGATAGTACATTTTGTTTAGAACTTTATATTCAGATCTTGTCCAGTATGACCTTATGTCTTTTAATACCCTTGGATCAATCTAATGCTTTCCTTTGAGATCAGTAAAGTATTTTGAATTGAAATTGAATTGAAATACATTGTCAAAATATGGATGTTTAGTAATTTACTAAAGCTATGAGCTAAATGTGGAATGTAATAAACATATAAAAGTAATGACCATAGGATATTTTAAGTTAGAATTTTAAGTTAAAATATTTAACCTACCATACATCCATTTAGAAATTAAAGTATTTTCACGCCTTATGGAAGGGCATGAATTAGTACAGTACAGCTAAAAAATATCACAATTTTTCAAATCCTGGCTCTGAATGATGATTTTGGTTCTGAATGATGTCTAAAAACCTCACTCAGCTGAAAATGACTGAAAAATTGGTCTTTTGGAGTGACTCCAAAACTCTTTCTTGCACAGACAGATTGTGTTGTGTTTATTGCACTTGTTTCAGTCTGTTTAGTTTATGGGATCCAGGTCACAGTGCAGGCTACATGTGCTGTGAAGCCCAACAGACCAAACATAAGGTCAGTGTGCCTACCTGACCTGTCATCGACTGCTCTCACAATCATGTCAATGACTCATAGGGAATGACCTTGGAACATCTGTGCAAAATCGCTACACCTCTACAAAAATGTGACAAAATATACATTTTAATGCATTCAAATTGTTTTTCAATGCTTGGTTAATTCATTCTCTCAAATAATATTAAGTCGTCCATGTAACACAACATAGTTGCAATCTTACTGGGGCATTTTTACACACTTTACTGTAAGTAAGCATTTAATGCAAAAGAAAGAGGTTGCAAATATACTAAAAAAAATAAAATAATACTTTCTGTGTATTAAGTCAGGAAGGAACTTAAAACAGAATAACGATACACTATGTGTGTTTAGAAAGAACAGTACCCACAAAACATGTTGTGTTACAGGGTCCCTACACTGCATGAAAGCAAGAAAAAGTGTGTTTGAACATCCCAACACATCCTGTGGTAAAATTATATTTTAAAGCCTTTGTTTTAAATGAAACTCTACACCTGTCTCAAAATTAAGGCAAAGTGTGAAGACACATGCGATCCATCAATAAGTGCACTGAGTATTAATGTAGTAATTATTACATAGCTTGATCTGGTTCAAACATCAGCATGCTGACAGGAGATGGAGCTGGATATTATGCTTATATGCAGTAATTTTTCATTAATGAGACTCTCACTGTCAACACTGACCTGACACATGTGAAGGTTTCAAGGAGGAGAAAATAAGGAAACTGCAAAACAGTTACATTTTACTCTCATTCAAAAAAAAATTAAAGTGTACTATACAGCACACCTGTACAGCATGAACATCCATAGCTCTCAAGCTATATTTACTAAATAGCTCAAGCTCAGTCACAGAGAGTAGAGAGTGTATGTCAATGCCAACATTCAAGTCCTGTCACAAATTCAACACTGTCTATCTTATTATACAGGATTTTGAGTATCCACTCCAATCTAAATACTTTTGCTCTCCTAACAGGTTTTCTGTTGGTATTGAAAGTTGAAAGAGGGGAAATAAATAACCTGGCAAATGACTTTTACAATATCAAAACAATTCAAAAGATAAAACTCACCGTTCAACAAGAGGAAGTGAGAGAAAATCAGCTGTATCAACAAACTTTGCCATCTCAATCAACGTAAGCAACATTTTGAAAAAAGAAAAAAACAAGAAAGAAGACATATCGCTGAATGCTACCCACCTATTTTGGAGCAAGGCAACTAGATGTTGGATGTGATTGAGCAGAAAAACACAAATTCTCAGTACTTATATATACTTTCTTCGACCTGACATCAGACATAAACCAATGCTGTGTCAGTTAGAAACAAAACCTGTGCTAACTACTTTTCCATCAACTTTCAGCCAAAGAGCCAGCTGACACGGATATGCCCTTTGGCAAGGAATCAAACCCACATAACCTGCTGGATAGCAGCTGGGCTGTGAATGACCTTCCCTCCTGGTACAGGTTCTGACCCAACTTGTTGCTGGCAATATCCGCAAACTCCTGCACTGTTAATTCACAGTTGGCTACAGGAGCAAAAAACTGAAAAGAAAGGTTGAAAATATGTTTATTTTATTTTCTCAAGTATTCTTTCTGCCTTCCTCAGCTGTCTCTTCCTCTCGGTGCACTTTTCTCTGTTTTTCTCACCCTGTGTGTTGAGAAGGACTCAACAGGTCAGGAGCTTTAGTGGAAATTAGCAGTGCTTTTGTCCATCTTTCTGTGTCTTTTTGAACCTTGTAGTTACCCTCCCACCTTACTATGCCTTTTTTTTTAAAAAAGAAATCTGGATTTTTATGCCAGCAAACCAGTCAGAGCCTGTTCTATTGAACTCATTGTGTGTGGGGGGGGGGAAGGTGTGTGCAGGTGGACGAAATGGGAGAGAGAGCTTGTTTTTGGACGGCAGCAGCAACTTGAAATGCAGAGCTGGAGCGGGTGTACGTAATTGTGCATGCGTGACTGTGTGTGTAACCCCAACACCCACCCATTATACACGCAGCCCTGCGACACCCGTCTCATCAAACAGTTGGACGCCGGCCAAGTTCATCTGTTAATGGACAGAGAGTGCCGGGACCCAGCCATTCCTCCCTCTACCCCCTCTGTTTCTCTTTCTCTCCCTTTCTCTCCCCCTTATCCACCAGGACACTCTACCCCCATGCCCTCTCCTCCTCATCTCTCCATATCTAGCTTTTTTTTATTGCCCCCCCCACCTCAGCTCCTCCCTCATTTCTCTCAACACCTCTTGGGGCGGTACAGATTGGGGCCTGAATTTCCCTCGTGCTGCAAAGATAAACATTGCGTGTGCGTCCTTTTGTCCCGTCAGTCCATCGGCAGGACGGTAGGGGTCTGTTGCACATGTACATCGACCTTTGGAGAGCACCTACAAACAAACAGTCTGAAGCCAGTTGAGACAAGAAGAAGATAAAAAAACCAAACAAAAGCTAAAAAGCATGTTAAGTCCACAATCCTTCTGTGAGAGTGTATTCGGGAGAGAAAGAAAAGCAGTGACTACAGTTCAGAGCGTGTTGAAACACATCTGGAGTTCAATGGAAAACTGCAGAAAAAAGGGGAGAAGGGGAAAAAAAGGGCTTGTGGGATTTCATCCAGGCTTTCCCGTGGAATACTTCATGCTTTACTCTCAATTTAACACTAAACCCCATGTCTTGATGCCCCAGCAATTAATTTTGGTTGTTGTTGTTTGGTAGGGACAGGATGTGCTCTTCATGTGATGGTTGATTCAGTTTTTAATTATACTGCAGCTGTGGTTGAATGATTGTGTGACAGGAATTTTCAAATGAAAATAAACAATTCAGGGGGGCTCTAGAGCACTGCAATGGAGTAGGCGCTTTTTTGTGAGGCTCCGTGATGTCTCCTCAAATTTCGTTTTTAATATAACACACCTGGTACTTTATTCTATATTGTTTTATTTCAAGTGAGTGGGATTACTTGTTTTTACTTTTTATATTTCAAAATGGGGAAGAAGGACGGAGACAGTTCAGCCGAGCTCCAGAGCTAGCAACGAAGCTATTTTAGCTGCTGTTATAGCCCAGGGTTTGCAAGTCGCTAA